AGCAGCCACAGAAGGGATAGGAAAAGATTTAAGGATGCATTTAACCCAGCCAGTATCTATTAACAGAGAAACAGCTTCCTGTCCTGAATTTTCCCTTTTACTGAGGTTAACAGACATCCACTCCATAGCACAAGGAAGACTACAATTAAACCACAAATAAACTTCTTAGCATAACAAACCATGTGAACATTGCCAGAACTGAGGCAGGGATGAGGGCTGAGAAAGGAGATGGACCCTGCAGACTTGTGCAGGTAAAACCTGTTCAGCTCCAATAAGCTCATTTTATTTGCACAGATTTTGGTAAATTTCTAGCTGGCTTGAATGTTTATGTTGTCACTGGTGAAATCTACCCTACCTGAAATTCAGTGGAAGACAACTATGTCATATTATCCTTTTTTTTTTTGGCCTGCCACTGAAAAAGAAAAGAGTGGTTCTTGAGAAGTTCTACATGTAGTTGATGTTGGGATTAAGGGGGTGGTGGTGGGGGGAACCCCAAACAAAAACCAATAAAACGTTTGCATTCCTAAAAACATACCTCTGTCTCTTACACCAGGACACAATCCACCCTTTTGGGAATTAAGTGCCTATCTGCAGGATGACAAGAATTTCTGGGGCCAGAATAAGCATGTGTGGGAAAACCCTTTTCTTCCTCTTCAGTGAAACAAAGCGGCTTTCTTGTAGCTACCAGTTATATCACTAAAACTTGTGAGACATGACAGCGTACGGAGCAAGCAATGTTTCATCCGTCCAACTAAGGAGCTGGAGGTGTCAGGACGCTGAGGGCACCATGAGCCTTTAACGGCACAGACCAATCTCACGTGGGACCTCCACCCACCCCCTCTGCCTATGGTCCAGCATCCCCATTTAAGCTCAGGCCTGGGCCTTTGCTCTTTGCATGAATTTTGCTGTAGGTGTACCCATCTGCAACCCTGCCTCCGGCCCTGTCTCCTGGATTGACTTAAGGCTGTAGGTAACTTGTCTCCTGGAAAGACCTCTTGTATGTACACTGAAGCTTGCAGCCAGTCCTGTCTTTGGCCCTGTCTCCTGGGTGGACTTTGTACCCATGCTGTAGCTTTGTCTCCAGCCCCGTCTTTTAAACTCCTGGATGGAGCCTCATCGCTCCATCTTGCCTGGGACTGTCAACAGACCCTGTTACTAGCGCCCGGCTCTGCCTGCCATACTCAGACCCTGTGGGACTGTGCCCCACGGGTGAGGGCACTGCCTGCACTGGGGCCACCCTTGCCTCCTGGCTTGCCTCAGCTCCTGGCCCTTGCTGGACCCTGACAAGAGGCTGGTGCATAGCGGATGCAGGAGTAGATTCAAAAATCAATGGAAACAATATTCATGTCTTGTAACTGTTGACTGGACAGGTCATTTCTGGGAAGCCCTCCAAGTTGTCCATAATCACAACCTAAGTTGATTTCCAAGCCTTTCAGCATGGTCTTAGTACAGCCCTTGGCAGTTTGGCAAGGGCCTTGGATCAACAGCTTTAATGCCAGATACAGTAAATACAATCTCGGAGACTAACAGAGTTTTGTAACATATAAGCCCATGAATCATTTTGTGGAAGAACGTGAAAGAAAGGAAGAACATGTGTTTGCATTTACAAGAGAAAACTTAATGGTAATGTGCTACTTTTCCTCTTCCACGTTAAAGCAGAAAAAAAAGCTCTTGATGTATTGAACACAGCATTCCCCAGCCATAAAATTGTATTCATTTAAAATGCAGGGCGAGAAGGGTGAAAATGGCCAGAGTTAAGCCATTCAATTGACAAATAGATGATAGATTCAGAAGAGAGGAACGTGCCCATGCCAGAGCACTCTAAGTCATGCCCTTCTGCTTTGTAATTAATTTTTTGCCTCTGTTTAGCTGTGCTCACATTTTTTATCTCACAGAAGATCTCCAAAGCCCACTCGGGAATAAAGCTTATATGGAGGAAAGGATATTGAGGTTAGTAGGTGTTGCTATGCAGGTTGCTAGCCTTACATAGTCTTTACACTTAGTAGTGCCTACAATCTGAGACAGTTATTTTATTTTTGCATTCAACTTTAATACTCAACATGCTCATCTTCAGCAACAGCCAATCCTTAAAAATGATGTGAATTATAACTGGCAAAGATCCACCACTAACTTGCCAGTTCTCTTGAACTTCAGTCCAATAAACTAATTAAAATGTTTAAGACCAAATTCTGTCCAAGTACTAGAATTCATCTCTGTTGCGTAAATGTGGCATGATGTCCTGAAGACACACCATTTTAGTAAACCAGCATACTTCTGGAGATGCTTCAATGACAGGACCTCACTAATATGATTAGATCAATTCCACCAGTTTCAGAGGAACTGGTTACTATAACCTGCCCCAGGCAAGGAGATGAAGAACTGGTGACTGCAAAGAAACACATGGTAGACAAGTCCTTATTAGAACCAACTGACAGAACAAAATAGACAGAGTTAGGAACCAGAAAAAGATAAAACATAACGGAAGAGAAAAGGAGTTATTTGTCCCTCTACTTCTGCTACAACTGAGAAGAGTTGAGATATCTCACAGGAAAATAAAGGTTTCAAGAAAAGTAAGCTGCAGGCATTTTGTGGCTTGCTCTGTTCATTTTTCTGTAATTTAACTGTGGGATATTATTGGCACAGGCATCTCATTGCAGGAAACATTAAAACATTATTAACCAATAAGTAAGTATTGCTAAGGATGAACTAATCATGGGTTAGCACCAGGAAAGCCCAAAGTCCACTTTTAAATTAGTAACTATAACTTACAGTTTCCAAAAACTCTACTTTCATGTACACTGAAATGGGTTCTGCATGGCCTACCTGACTATGTATTCTACTGCATGGTCTCCTTTCCATCTGCTATAATTTCTACATTTTTGCTATCTTTCCCCATTTCCTAGCCTTTATGTCAATGAAATCAAAAGTCCAGTGGTGACTTACTGTGGCTGTACCTGAAATCAAACATTCTTCTCCCTTTGCTGTTCTAGCCATGATGTCACATAAATAGGCATTAGTAGAATATATTATTATATTAATATTTTCACTCACTTATAAATATTTATCAATTTCTCATATGAATATTAGACCAAGTGTCTCTGGAATTACACAACTATTCAAACTGGACAGAATGCTAACGTAGCCATTACACTCATTCTACTCCATCACAAATTTTTGTTTAATGTATTCTGTTTCTACTCTTTTGTGTTTGCAAAAGTAGCCCGGCTTTTATTGCCACTCTACTCCTCACAATATATTGCAAGTAGAAAAACCTTTATCACATTTCAAGTTATTTTTGCTCCTTTACTAGTCTCTGAAAGTTACACCTGCAAAATTGACAACAAAAAGTTTACAGGAGAGAAGATTTACTATTTGAATCACACCAGAAGTAGGAGCTGTCAAAACAGGGGCACACCAGCTAGATAGGTTCTACCTCTTTTCCAACCCTCCAAAATCCTTTTATCCGACCAATGCCTGAGGACCCTTGTCTATGTGTCTCCAGGAAACTCAGGGTTATGGTTGAGAGAAGAAAGCACAGAGCTGCAGTGTGAATGGGGCTGGGAAGGGGCTGCTGAAAGAAAGTGCGAGCTGCATGGAGACTGGCCCTGGAAGAAATCTTTCATTTGGGCAACAGTATCAGACTCATCTATGGTTTTCCAGAAAAATTAAGGTTAAAGTTCAGTTTCCAGTTGACAGACAGAGGAAGTTTAGAGCTGTAGCATGAGTAGGGCTCGGAGAGCCCTCATTTTAGCACGTCCACCTTTCCTCACCACCTGAATTTTTGTACACTGGAACTCAGCATTAAGTACTAGCTCCCGCAATTTCCTTTTTATAAACCCAGTCTACTTGCATAAGGAATGGACTGTTCCATCCTCTCTTTTTTGCCCTCTGATTTTCTGCACAGCTGAAACCATAATGGTCTGTTTGTATAAAGCAATCTGAGATATCCGTATAACTGAGAACACTCTTCAGGCATGAAAAAGTATTTCAACCAGACTTGTCCAGCACACACACAAACCCAAATCATCTCTGTTCTTTCCAAGCAAAGAATCTAGGAACCTTTCAGTGGAGGCAAGACTTAACCCCATCATCCCTCCTCTAATGCACTGACTGTAGGAACTTCCACTCTTAAGATGGGATTAGCCTTTTTGCAAGTACTGCAGCACCCGAAATCCATAAATGTCACAGGAGCCTGAATCTCTGCAAGTTTTGCATCAGGCACCTTGACAGGACCAGTGCTTTTTCTGCTACATTAAAGTGCAGTATTCAAACATATGTCCTAAATAAACTCCACAAGAATTACCTTCCCTCGCTATTCATCCAGACAGAACTGAGGGGAAAAAAAGTAGAAGCCCTTTCCTTCAGCACAGAATTTGGACCAACCAAATATTTCTATTTTTAATTACATTTATGATATTCCCTGTGGGTATAAGTCATGAATGTAGTCCTACTATGCTGGGAGTAACGTAAATATAGTCATTCCCAAAGGGATCTTACAGCTGTTATGCACAGGTCAGAGATTCTGTGAAATGCAAAATCTGAAACTTTAAAAGCTTTTTAGTCCACATCCCTCCCATTTCTTTTCAAAGGCAGAGTTAATGGATACTGAATATTGCCCCCAATTTTGCCCACAAGGTATGGAAGTAGTAACTCCATTTAAATAAAGTAATATTTAGCAATAAGCAACCACCTGGTCCTATCTCACTCAGGAACTGGATCAGAAATTCCATTCTGATCCAAATTAACTCATCTGCCACTTCGTGCTGACAACTGTGCAACTGAAGACAAGACACATGGAACTGTCTCCTCTGCAAATCATTCTAAGGGGAGGAAGGAGTGCAACTTCACACTGCAGCATACAAGTCTAGCCTCCTCCTCCTCCTATCTGATTCCTTGCCTCTTATTTTGACATGAGACCACTCAAACGGACTTAAGTAAGCTCTTCTCCATCCAAATCTGGAGGTGTCAGCCCATAAAAATGCAAAAGATTCTGCACTTACCTCTGATCACAGTCTGGTGAAGGAAAAGTACTCATCAGCTGCTTCTCTCAGGAACAACGTTCTGTTTTAAAATAAATAAAAAAGAAACAAGACTTCAAACAGTGCTTCTCTGTCTCTTCCCTAATGTTAGCCTTCATCAGCGTTCATAAACATTTGCTTAGCAGGCGCACCTTCGCTCTCCAGAACCAAGGTAATGATTACATTACAGTAGCCATGGCATGAGGACAGAACGAGGCCATGACAACAGCCTTGCTGGCACCAACTAGACTATGACGTAGGCTTGCACTGCAGCAGGCTCAGTTGTGCAAGAGTGAGAAAGAGTGGGGCGAGATGAGAAGTTACAAGTGCAGGGCGAAAAAAAACCCCAATCAACAAACCAGGAACCTGGATTTACAGGTAAACCACAAAGAACAAAGAAAGGTCACAGAACAAGCAAATGCAGTACGAGCTGAGAGAACTGGACATGCCAGCGTAGTCCTAATGGGATTTCTCACATCTGTTCATGAATATCGTTACCTTTGAAACAGGCAACAAAGCAAACCATAAGACACTACCTTCTTTAGTCCTGGCCACAGCTAAATCAGTTCAGTAAAACTTCAGTGGTGTGACAAAGTCTGTGTAGTCTATTGCCAAAGCCTTTAAAAGAGTTAGAACGATTAGGTATACTGCAAAACAAAACCAAACCACCGAAGGACGGAGTTACACCCTTCCTCCACCCCTCTACCTGGCTAGAGATCACACAGATGAAAGTACTTTGTGAAGCTAACTGAAGCTCAAGAAGCTTCTGTGCGTGTACACACCAAGACACACACTCACAGAGCAGCTTGCCAGTGAAAGCGTCTCAGCAGAGTCACCGAAACCCTGAGGGAAGACACAGATTAGAACAGGGTTGGGGCTAAAAGGCTAATTTTACTGTACCTGTTGGACAGCCTCTAAAGGCAGCTCTTCCACATCAGCTGGGTTTCAGATACACAAGTACTCTCCTGTAGCTTTCCAGCTCACACAGACCCTGATTCAGCAAAAACTCTGACCTTTGAGTTCCAATAATCTTTAATACATCTACAGCCAATTAGTAAACAAATAAGAACCACACTTGTGCTGCCTGTAAATATAACCAAGTGCACCCAGCTCTCTGCCTTCCTCACAAATTTACAAGAGCAAAATTTTCTCTTTTCCTTTTTCCTGGTTAGATAAAGATTAGTTCAGGAAAAGAGCACATGCCCTTCCTCAGTACACAACTTTCCTCTTTTATTTTGATCCATAATTCTTATGTTTCTTCACTGAACAGTTTGAGAAGGCAGAGCGAGAAGCCTTGCATGCCTGGCCTCCACAGATCCCAACACACCAGGGTAAACATCAGAGCAGCCAGATTCAACAGCAAAACAACTAAACTACAAAAGGGATGAATGTTTGATGTCACTATAAAAGGAACAGACACCTAAAGAAATGTTTTTCACAGAACTGTGACAATCCAGTGAAACTCACTGATAAAAACAATCAAATTATGAGGTTAATTATTAGTAGAATTTATATGATGGCAGCAGATAAGACTCTCACATGTCCACTGCCCCCATGGTAGTCGTTAAGACCCACATAAGCAGATACACCAACATCCAACTAATGGCATTTAATATAAGTTTCCCATAGGGGTTGGCCGTCCCCTGATGTTTCACTGCAAAATATCTTGCACTTTCTGATGCAAACTATTACCAAAGTGGTGACTTGGATCAAGACGGAGTATCACTCTGGTCTAGTTGGTTTTACTTTCCAGAATACAGCAGACTCAGAAAAAAGTAAAAGGATCAACAGATCACAAATGCAGGGGAGACACTCAGAGAGGAACATGAATTACAAATAATTTTCTCGTCAGCTTTTAAAAATGCAACTTGCTCACACTTACAGAAGCTCAGAAACAGTTCTATCAATGATGTAAAGAGACTCCTGCTCTTTGCAGTTCCACAGTTCTCCTTTAAGGCATGTCACAACCGATAGAAGTAGAAACCCAACAGGGCAGGGTAAGAGGGGAGGCAGAATTTTAACACTAGTTGAATGGGGTAACAAGGAATTTAAACTCAACGCAATAATTGATAAGTAGCCAGTGACAAAACACAAAGAACAGAGTGATATTATCAAGCAGATACATTTTTCCATCAGTAGAATATGACTGGAATTGGCCAAGTCTGAATTCACTGCAAGATTTATTTTGAAGAACCTTCAACAAAAGGAGTGGTTTAAAGCAACACTAAAGGGATGACACTGCTGTCACTTCCACAGAAAGCGAAGTGAGGTAAAAACCTTGCCTAACAATTTCCCATTTCCCTCCTCCATAGATACTCATCTGCCTACATTGTCCTTGAGAAGCAAACAGATTTCTATGTTTGGAAAACCCTCAGCAGGAAGTGCACGTTACCACCATTATCAACAGCTGCTAAACACCACCTCCCAAATGCTAACAGAGAAGGCAACACCACATTTCATCTCTAGGCATCAAAGCACTTAACTAATGGAAATGAACCTCTGCCTAGCACGCAACTGAGCAATTTTGGAAAGACGTCATTAACTCTAGGAGCATCATATCTTTTCCCGTGTTTGTATTTAGTTTCAAATTTACCAGCCATAATGGTGGAGTAGGAAAGCTCAGGAGCCTGTGTGCCGGCCACGCAGGCTCCTGCGGGAGCTCCCGTTAGTCAGGGTGTGTGCCATATGGAGATTTAATAAGCAATGACATTTGTATTCCTGACACTTTTATTTCTTTAAACACCAGCCACACTGGAAGTTTCACTTTACTTTTTACTCCAGAAAAAGAGCCAAACCTGAGTGTAACATGCTGTCTGGAATGCCCAGGGCACATACAAGAGCATGTGTGTGGTCCCCTTCACTGTTACAAGATAAAACAGCTTTCAGGAAAATGAGAAGGGTGCTTAGTTTTCCTAAGCATAAAAACCTTAATATTTGCAATAATCAAATACAACAGAGTCCACTTAGAACAGTATTCACACGGGAGCCCAAACAAGTAGAAATATTTTCCCATGAAGATCTTATCCTCAGTCTGGGCAAACAATCCATGTCACACTGGACAGGCAACAGTTTTACTCTATATGTCTCTGTAGTAATTACACCAAGGAAACATGGCAGTCAGTTTAAAAATAATAAGAACAACTTTAAAAGCCCAAATCAGAAGCACAGTGAAAATATATAATCATAAAGCATACACTGGGAAAACACAGAAGGTAGTTTCATACAGTCAAAATGTGAAAACATTTACAGGGACATGAACAGAAAGCCCTGCTTAGTAAATGGTGGAGATTTTTAGTTAATTTCTGTGAAAGAATAAAATAAAATAAAACCACAGGCACCTGAGGTTTGCATTTCTTCCTGGATAACAAATACTTTATAACATCACTGAAAGAGTTGTGTAGCTTTAAAGTTCAAAGCTACACAAAGACATCAGAGAGCAAAAACAGGGGTGACTTTTAATGGGTACGGGGAGGAAGGATGGATGGACTGCAGCAATAAAACAGGAAAAAAGGGGAAAAGGTACATAGACAAGGGGGAGAGAAAAGGCGTAGAGCTATGTGGGAAAGAGTGAAACCAAGGAACAATTATCAGAAAAAGTCACTGTCAGAAACTGCAAATGCTCAAGAAAGAAGCACTACAGAGAAAACCGCATTCTCTGTCAGGATCTCCAAGGAAGTGAAAGAAATGGAAACTAAGCAGCAAGGATATACTTAAAATAGTTAATCAAGGATATTTGCCATCAAAACAGATTACCTTAACACATATACCTCCTTTATGGCTCATTCATGTGCATCCAGCAGAACTGGTTTGAGAAGTGAAATGCTTTCTGAGACCCAGTGAAGCTCTTAAGTGAATTTCTATTTCTGATAAGAGAAAGCAGTCTTATTTTCAAATTTCTAGAAGTGATCTCTTAAATTCCTCCCCTCCCTCTGGTATGATGGGTTGCCTGCAATGTAATTCACCAGAGAAGCTTTCACAACAGAAAGCGGCGGCAAAGCCACCTGAGGAAGGAGAAGCATCAGTTCAATAATGGCTTAGCATGGTTCATCATTTAGCCCATGCCCTACTTCAGATTTTGCATGTCCTTATGTGGCATCCCCTTGTCTGCACACAGCAAAGGAAAGGATTCCTCCCTATAAGCCTATTCATGGCATGGAGGGTACGTGGCCCAGACCCGATCTGCCATCAGCATGACTCTCCTTGCCTGCAACTGCGCTGCTCTGAAATGCCCATGAACCTGACTGCTCCAGCAGTCCAGTTTTCAGAAAGGCCAATGCAAGGAGTGAAGTGTTAAAACTGTAATGCTATCTGCCTTTGCCTCTGTCCTTTTCTCTTCTGCTATCAGCTAGCTGTATGTCTCCCAACAAGGAAAAAACCAAACCAATTGCCATCAAGGCCAATGGGGAAAAAGGTATCAGTAACAACCTTCTTCCCAGTGCTGCAGCCTAGCAGCTAAAATCATGCCATCTTTATGAGAAGAGAAGAAATTCATAAAAAAAGGGGGAATGACTACAACTAAAATATTAGGAAAAGATCTCTCCTTGTTCTCTTTTGCTTTCTGCTCTCATCACGCAGGTAAGAAGGAAACAGCTTTCTCAGCTGATGAACTTCCATTGCTACAGTTCTCTCCCCCCCCCCCCCCTTGTTTCTGACTGTTTCTCAATGAGCAAAGAATGGTCTTGAAGGAGGAAAAATTATGATTTATGTATCAGACAGATATATCTTTAAAGACTGTCAGTTCCATCCTGCCACAGAGCCAACACCTCCTGACAGCAATGCTGTAATTAAATTGATAGCATTGAGCATTCTCTAAATTACTGGGTTAAAGTAGCAGAGCACTGTATTTAAACCTTTCACCCCATTCAGATCATATAAACAATTCTGCTCATGGCTTGATTTAGGCTACTCCTCCCCAAAGCATTCAAAATTAAGAGCACTCAAAAGAACTAAAGACACCTAGTTCGGTACTAGTCTTTCCCTGGTCCTAATAAACCATGGCTCACACAGACAAAGCAATGCCTTATCTCCCCTAGACCAGTCATAAAGCACTCATTATCTTAAAAATAGCATTTAAAAAAATAGCAAACAAATAACCAGATTAATGAAAGGCAATCATGTTAGTTTCCAGACAGCCTGAAAACACCTAGAAGCCCAAATCCCACAGGAATGAATTTAATGTCAACAGAAAGCTATGTAAAGGCTTTGTGCCTAAATGGTGACCCCCAATTTACAGTGAAGTTGACAGCTACCATGGAGAATTTCAAGTGGAAGAGGATCATTTATTTCTCCATTAAATAAAGCAAATTAAGTCAGCAGCCTGCTGACTTTAAGTCCATGTAATTCCGTCTCTACATTTTTCATTTATCATTGTCAATATTTGATCTGGACAGTGTTGCCTCTTCAGGTTCCTTAAGCTTACTTTTATCTCTGTCCTTTATCATAAAGCAAAGTGCACTCTGCATTGCAGAGGAGATTTCTCCAATATCTAAGGTGATGGGGGGGGGGAAATAAAGTATAAACAGCTCCTCACTTAACCTCACTAATGTGCCTACAATGTTATGAATTGGCAATTCCAAGTTATGATACAACCCCACCAAGGAGCTAATTAAAACTAAATTTAACATTGTTCATTTTTTATAAAGGGGAAAACCAATAAAGTCAATAATCTGTACCCAAATAAAAGATATAAGACACGTTTGATATGACTGTACAGACACACTGCAATAAAGAAAATGGAGTTTTGCCCATAATTCAGTTCTAATGTGCTGTTTAAACAGCTTTCCTTGTATGCACTTTTGAGGTTCACAGCAGCAACTTCCAAGATGCCCAGTAGGTGGCCATAGCACAGCTGGCTGTACAGAAAAGATACATAATGAGAAGCGATACTCCATTCAATAAACCAAATAAAAATTACAGATATAGGGCTTCCTGGAAGCAAACGCACATAGCTGAATGAAATCCAAATCTGGAAGAATAAATATGATATCTTGAAACCAAATTGTGAAAGAATAAGACTTGTTAGCAGATTGGCTGTATCTGCAGCTGTTTAATTAGGTGCATTTTGCCTTTTTCAGAAGGTGAGAGGAAGGAAATTTGCATACATGGAAACAGAGAAAACAGGTAAAAATAAGTCATGCTTTCAGGGGGATGAGGGGAAAGAAGACATCAAAACTTCTTACTCAATTACCTTTCATGTGTTTAGCCAATGTTCAGCCCCAAATCCAGCTTAGCCAATGCTCAGAAACAGACATGCATCTTCAGGATTTTTCCCGCACTTTGAGGTGCGACAGCTTTCTTTCTCCTTCCACACAGTTTTCTCAAGCTCTGCTCCTCACTGCTGCTACTTTCCAAAATGCTTCTATAGCCAGCCACTGATGGCGAAGGCTGCAGGTGCAGTCAGCTGGTGAGTAACGCACAAATGTTGAACAGACTGTTGCCTCCTCCCTGGGGGCTCCCAATTGCCACTGAGGTTGACTATATAAATGCTCAAATCGCCACCAAACTTTCCCACAAATGGAAATAGATATCTGATACATCCACAGAAGTCTCCACTACCATATGAGCTTGTTTGGAAGAATACTTAAATGCACTATTTTAACTGCCTACCATCCCTCTTCCTTTATATTTTCTGGGATGCAGAGGTAAAACAACCTGGTACAGACATCCATGTTAAAAGAAAATAAATGATGCAGCTGCTTGATCCTATTGTTCATTATGCCTGGAAAAAAATCTTTGCATGAACCAGTAATTCTCTTTCTCCTTATTTTCCATGAGACAACGCTACAGATTGTGGCTACTGAGAGAGTAGCGCCAGAACAATGCGAAGAGAGAAGTATCAATTCTTTCAATGCTACAGGTTCAAGAACTTGGCCACATCTTTTCACTTGGTCTTTTGAAGTCAACAATCTGACTGTGGTTGAATTGTCAGGAAGAATAGCATCTGAAAAAGTACACATGATCAACCAACCTGAGTTCAAGGAACACCATAAATGCGTTGAGATTAGTAGTCAAAAAAGCCTGCATATTCTCTAGGACACTGGGTTACGATCAGGGAGAATTATCAGTACTTACAGATTGACTCATGGAAGTGCAACTAAAGCAGCTCTGTGTGGCATTGTTTGAGAGTCATTGACCCAGAAAGGCACTAAAGCAAAGCTGTACGTAACACTCCCAATGCAGGCACTCAGCTCTGTGCTCTGCAGCTGGAAGGAAAACACTGCACGGAGCTCCACAATTTCATAATTCACATAAACAGCTAAGGGAGCTTTTGTGCTTGCAATGCAATGAAATTTTCTACTTCCCTTCTTAATTTCTTTTCACACCTCAAGTTAAAAGCTCTCTGCTGTCTTCTTTCTCCTCCCCTGTCTTATTCTACCCTTTCACAGTGATTCTGAGTCAATCGGTGATTAAATTCCCTGTGTTTTCATGCAAACATCTGACTTTCCTGGCTTCACTGGAACATCAGTGAAGGCCCCCCTCCCACTCCTCTCTCATCCCAAGAGATTGAGGCATACAGAAATTTGCCTGAGCATCATTTCAGAATAAGGCCACACTTGTGTTTTTAGAAGAGGCATCCAGCCAGCTGGAGGTTTCTTTATGGCTTCACTAAGTGCAAAGCCTTTTAGACTAGTAGACTGAGCCAAAACCTTGACCTACCATGCCCTTGTGGGACCAACAATATTCTTCCACTACTTGAGAGAGAAAATACATGAACTGTCAGTTTAAAAAGCATGCAACATGGCAATTGAATATTATCACTGTAGGATACTATCAAACAGTGTTTTAGTAGATGAAACACAGCAGGGTCCAGTGTGCAGGACAAATTTTTTTTAAGACTTTCAATCAACTCTTCTCCATTTTAAGACAGGTAGAAAAAAATTATGCAAAAGCAGAAGCTTCGGTTTGAGTTTTAGACCACATTTACCTGTCAGCGTGAGAATCTGATCTAACACTTGTCACAACCATCAGAAATATTTCCACAAAATTCAACAAGCACAGGGTCAGGATTTAAATTTATGTTGTGCCAGTATTTGTACATATATTTACATATATAAACACCATGCTGTACAGTATTATAATTATTTTTTTTGGCATGGAACTCTCTAAGCATTACACATGAATCACAGCAAAGGGTTGGGTTTTTTTAATAATATTAAAAAACTTCTTTCTCCTTTGGGACCCAACCATAACCCATTCTTATCTCTGTAATAACATAGATTTTCATCTCATTAATCTTCTCCCCTCCTCAATACAAAGAGAGAATTTGCAAAGTGGATGACTAACCAAACCCCTTTCAGTTAAGGCTCCTGCTTAGGTGTTTTGACACTCCTAAGCTATATTTTTCTACTCATTTTTTGAAAATGCATGTTCCTTTTGTTTCAACAGATTTACAATAGAGTCAGAGACAATGCCCCATCTGAGTTACCTCATAAATCATCAAAAATGTCAGGGGAAACTACTTTTTTTATCTTAGCAGTGCAAACAGAAATTGCCCTTGTCCAGCTTTATTTATCAGACCATCTTGCTGGTGAACTGCGTAACCCTCACACTGTATCCTAAACACATCCAAGCTCCTGTGGACCTAGGCAGTTGCAGATTATAGGGCTTTGCATGGGAAACACTTCTTTCTTATACCTTCCCTTCAGCTTAACTATCAGTCCAACCTGAACAGTATAAAACCAGACAAAAGGGAAATAATTTCCCAAATACTAATACTCAATCCACTTCGTACTTCTCACCGCCATTTTCTCTAGGCAAAGGCTCTGCCATCTCATCCTCACCCAGACACAAGT